TTGCTGCACATAAATTTCTGAGCTGTGGAAAACGCCCTCATTGATTCACTAAAATCTGTTTATTTACTTTCGTTAAAAACTGTGCAGATGAGTTATGCACTTGTCACCGGAAACCCCCACCCCGGGGAGACGTGGGGCATACGTGGGGATTTGTAAGTGCTTAGATGACTTACCAGCCCCCAGGGGGTGGGGGAATGGTTCACTTTAGACAATTTATATTGTAGACGGGGACTGGACTCTAGTCCGAAGCACATGGTCGATTGTTCAAAATGTATATACAGTATAGATCCCATCTACCCTTGGAGGACCTGTTCATACTGCTAAGGGGACTGATGACAATCAGTTGAAAAAAAACCTTGATTTAGCAGCTGATGTGTATATTTCAAGAGTGCAAGGGGCTCCATGTGGGGAAGCGAAAGTACAGTTGTACAAAGGTGCTGATGGTCCTGAAGCCAAGAAACTCTTAAATAGGAGGCAGATGTTGCTGAAATTCTTAAGCGGAAAATCCACTGAAAAAGAAAGTTTGCAGAGAAACCATCCTGGAATGTACAAGTATTTTCAACAAGTTTGGAAAGTGTATCTCAGTCACAAGTTGCCAAACTTGTCTAACAAGTACTTTTTAGTGCTTGCTTTGTGCTTTCAACCGGGATGCCCACATAGCCTGTGTATGGCTGGGAACAAAGAACAGAGTTGCTGGTATCAAGGTGGACCTCCCCTTACTTATTTCCCACTTCCAGTCCCTGATCCTGCAAAACCATGGGGCGGTGACTGCTTCAGCTGTAAAGGTCAATGTCCCGGTCACTATATGAAGCCACATGAATTGTCACAGTGTTTCCAAGGTATGTCAGAAAAGAAGGACTTTGCATATTTCGCTATTAAATGTTAACCAGTCTTTGAAAAATCCAAACCTTTAGTCGGGGCTTAAACTAAAAATTCTCCCCTTTAAGGTGGGGCTTTTTCTTCCTTTTTTTCGTTCAGCTGTCCAATGCCCTACGTCTCCCCGGGGTGGGGGTTTCCGGTGACAAGTGCATTATCTGATCCTACAGAAATTTCGTGAGGTCTTGAAAAACTGTCGATGGCTCTTTCTATATTGATTTATGTATGATCAAGTTTAGATATTCTCACTAGCTCTTAAAATTTATCAACTACGTGCAACGAGGCTACTGAATCACTGTTTAGATCAATAACATATTTCTTAGTAACCCACATGCGTCCCGGGCCTCTTCAGTGGAAAATTTTAGGCATCTTTATTTCTTGCTAAAAAAAGTCAACATATATAGACAAGTTTCTCCTCTTTACGACACAATGGAATGAAAACGGCAACTGATCTTTAATTCACCTTAGAATTCCTTTCAATTTGTTCAGATGACAAAACATTGAGCGAAACAAACTTAAAGTAATTGCGGAACTTAAGAACGCCGGCAACATCCATTTAAAATTGTATATAAATTTCAGATCGCTCATGTATTTCCGTTGTCCCCTTTTTCGTTCTAACTTTGAAATGTCTGCCCAGATACATGGCTGCATTTAGTAATTCAGTTCTGAGCTAGCGAGACTTGTTATCATTCTAAATCAAAAGTTATTCAAAGTATTTGACTGCATTTTAATTTAGGTTAATATCATATCTGCAAGTTTTGTCTGCTACTGACCATGGTGCAAATAGCTAATCGTGCCGCTCTTGGGCGGAGCAACCAGATTATCAGTTATAAATTTAATAAAGACCCTGAGCTATTTTAGAATAGACAAAATTAACGTGGTATGAAGTGTCTTCAAAGTGACAAACATCAATTTTCTCCTAACAGTATCAATACACAATCAAGAGAAAAGGTTGTTAGAATTAATGAAATAATCACCTAACAGAAAATGCTTTGATCTTCTAACAAATTCTCTTAACGTATTCTTTATGGAAATGTATGGAGGGCAGTTTGGAGAATTTGTATGTGGATATTGGGGCTTAAAGGGTAAAAAAAACTGGAATTTTTTCTTTTGCTGCTTAGCTTTGTAGTCAAAGTTACAAAGAGCGTACATGCTAAGAGGGATTGTTTGAATTTTTTTACATGAAGAAACGGTGTGAAATTTATATTTGGACATGAATTGTTAAAAATTGGTTATATACAAGACGTAAAGTAAGTATTTATAGTGCAGAAAGAGAGAAGTTTCAGATTTAACTGAACTCTAGATGTTAACTGCCCTTCTTAGATTTTCAGCCTTGGTTAGAAGACAAGATAATGGCGACCGGAGGTTGGGTGGCAGATCTTGACAAGAAAGAACACAAAAACTGGGTTTTGGTTGCATGCGCTCTGAACATTACCAAAAATGGAATTTCACCCAAAATCCAAAAAGAAATGGAAGCCTGGTACCGAAATCAACATCAATTTTCTCACAACAATATCCATACCTTGTCAAGAGATAAGGTTATGAAAATTACTGAAATGATCACTTAAGAGAAAATGCTTTGATCTTTTATCAAATTCTCTCAACTACCTCTTTAAAGAAATGTATAGAGATCAGTTTGGAGAATTAGAATGTGGATATTGGGGCTTAAAGAGTTAAAAAAGGCCAACCTCTCAGCCTCTTTCTCCAGAATCTTTCCTTCCCACCTTAGAGGGGAAGATTAGAGAGGACCAGGACTCTCTATCCTCCTAAATGCAGCCTGATTGTAAGGCTTCTTCATTACCCCACCCCAGAAGGGAAGAAGAGAGACCCTGGATACTTCCTATCCTAAATCCAGCTTTTTTCGGAGAGTCTATCATTATCCCACCCCATAAGGGAAGAAGGCAGACTCAGGAATCCTTATCCTAAATGCAGCATCACTCTCATGGTGTGATACTACCCCATCCCAGAGTTGAAGAAGAGAGATCACTTAATCCCTTTCCTAAATCATCATTCTCAGGGTCTTTCGTTAACCCACCCCAGAGGGGAAATGGAGAGACCTCAGACTCCCTATCCTTCATCAAGCCTCATTATTAGGATCTTTTATTACCAGGGACCAGGACTCCCTCTCCTAAATGCAGCCTGATTATCTAGGTCTTTCATTACCCCACCCCAGAGGTGAAAAAAAAATCTGGACACCCCCTATCCTAAATCCAGCCCCGTTCTTAGAGTCAGTTAGTACCCTTCTGCTACAGGCCTTTTCTCTTAGATTCGCCGAGTTCTCAGATGGAGTGAGCGCGTAGACGCTAAAAACACCTCGTTTCTTGCAGTTCGCATGTCTTACTCTAGTGACTTTGAAGAAAATAAGAGACTGCTCACAGTCTACTACCCTAGAGGATAAAAGTAGAGACCAGTCTGCCTATCCTAAATACAGCCTCATACTAATGGACAATCATTACCATACCCAGAAACGAACGAAGACAGACCCAGGATTCCCCATCCTGAAAACAGCCTCTTTTTCATTACCTTACCCCTGAGGGGAAGAAGAGAAACCTACGAATCTCTATCCTACATGCAACCTTATTCTCAGGGTCTTTCATTACCCCATTTCATACGGGGAAAAGAGAGACGTAGGACCCTCCATCCTAAAGGCAGCCAAATTCTCAGGATATTTCATCAGCTCACCCCAAAGGCAAAGTGGAGAGGCCCTACAGAGGAGTTTGTGATAACTGCCATTAAGGGTGTATTTTGCCAGTGTCAAAAATTGTCAACCTAAGTAACAAATAATTGTCAATGTCATAATAATTGAGCTATAGCAGAAGCTCTCAAGAACATCAAGCCTTACAAGTTGAAAGAACTAGCCAAACAATGCATGTCAACCAACATTGGTTAACTCATAACCCTTTTAATCCCTGTGAATGATCAGCATTTGTTTTCTCTTTGTAATATTTATGCTGTATAAAACAGCGTGGTTATGCGAATTAAGGACATGATTACATAAGATGAATTTAACTGATACTTTAACAGCTTCTCTCCACTACTGCTATAGGAAACATATAGAGACAGAAAGTGAGAATTTAACTTTCGATTTTAGGGTCTAAAGGTTTAAATACCTTAATCAAACAGTGCATGAGTAGTAAAATTGTAGGGAGTGACAGTTTTATTCCATAAACTCACTTTTAACACGGACCAAGGGAACTACCTTTTCAGTAATTTGTATCACCTTTTCTGGTTACTAACAGATTCCAAATAAGGACGTGACTCCTTGCGCGAGCCATCGTGTGTATGAAAGCTGTGGGAAGCTGCTATCAGTGCTGGGTAATAAGCAGCCATAGAATGGCAGTTATTTTCCCTATCCAGTGCTTGTTTGCATTTGACATGGAAAGATAACAGCACTTGTATTCATGTGTTGACCTCGCATAAATCAGCTCCCTTCTCCCACTTATAATGAAAAGATCCATAAAATGCCCTTTTCATCTTTATCCTTTTAACTCGCTGTAAGGTGTGCCTAATTTTAATTTTTGTTGTTATTTGCTATATCTTACTGACATGATTACTAAGGCATATTGCTTATCAATTTTAATTTATATTTTACCCCTACTTTTGAAGTCTTATATTCGTAAAATTTTTACCTAATTTCAATGTCACTAGAATTGACATCTGGAAACCTGTCGGCCCCACCTCCCGTAAATCAGTAACTGTGAGTTCTTGTAACAATGTCTTCTTTATCATCTGATCGGGCTTTTCTCCCCCTCCCCTTCTCTCTTTTGCCCCTACCACGCAGGCCATCTTGTTATTATGTTTTTGTCTTTTTGGGGGCCAACCTCGTTGGTATCTCATGTCTGTTCGTTTGCCCCTAGATAAGCCTGTTGCAAATATTTATTTTCAAGTTTCTAATAAAATCCCCGTTGCTGCTATTTTAGGGAACCTTAGGGCATTTAAGGTAACTGAGATTTTTGGTCTTTCCCTTGCAGATCCTCGGTTAAGAAATGCCACATAGGGCCTAAAAAAGGACATATCTCTAATTACCAAGGTAACGAGAGATAGGCATATAGCCTGAAGCGTTGTCCCGGCCTTTTGATTTAGGTCTAAGACGTTTCTCAGTTTGTCTCGAAATCAATATCATAATGGCATCTGGCGGTTGGGTGGCAGAACTTGATAAGAAAGAACACAAAAACTGGGTGATGGTTGGTTGTGCCCTGAATATTGCCAAAAAAGGAATAGCACCAAAAATTCAAAACAAAATGGAAGCTTGGTACCAGTCTCTTATTTCCAGTCCTCCGCTTCGGTCACTTCCATCTTGCGCTTGCGCACCTTTGGCACCAAAGTGCGCCACTTGCGTCACCTGGGAAATGGAACTGAAACGTCACCACAAGTCTGGGCGACCAAAGATTTGCTGGGACAACAGTGACCGAACACAGTGGGGATCTCCGACTGGGGCATGGCAGATAGCTAAAGTCTATATGCCAACTCTAGGCAGTCGTAAAAAGGACGTGGTCGACGCGGAGAGTACAGACTTAAGTGGCCTTTTAAACTTGCTGGAATGGTGTTCTTCTTTCATCACTCCATCTGTGAGTCAAAAAGTGTTGACTTCGACGCGAGATGAGTGCAGGAATCACTGGGCACACGCCCCAAAGCAGCAACTGGAAGATTGCGATGTTCCGACCATATTTGATCATCTAAAAAGTCTGCTGAATGAGCCAGTGTTTATCACTGACAAAGCTGCCCAAAACGCATTAAGAGACCTACAAGACTTGCAAAAACATGGTTTAGTAAACGTCAGAGAATCGAAGATCGAGGTTCTTTTTTTGCTGCCCCAAACGCTTCAAGAAGATTTGGTAAAATGCCAAGCTGAATTATCCACTCTTGAGGAGGAAGTTGCACTAGTTAAAAAGCAAGGGGTCCAGAACACAGCGAACATAGACAAGTTGTTCCAGGAAGTACATGGCTTAGTGCATGCAGTGGATTATTTTAACACACTTAGAAATGAGAGAGAGGATATTAGGGAAGAATTTGAGGCTATCCATGACCAAGATGTAAAACCTAGATTCCGTGTAATTGAGTCGGAATTGGCAAACATAAGAGCCGAATTACAGGAAGTGAAGAAAGAAGTACAGGAAACAAAGAACAAAGTTGGTATTTTGGAAGAAAAATTTGAAAAGGGGTGCTCCTCAGACAAAGAGAATGACTATCAGAAAAAACATTTGTGCACTGCTCCACGTCGGTTAAAGCGATTCATTAGTCGAGAATCAGCTCTAGAATGGTTAGAGAAGAATCTTGTGGAAGAGAGAGTTAAATACAGTCGCGGGACTCCCTGTTGCACTAAAGCAATATGCGGCCTTGGAGGCTGCGGCAAGACTTCTGTGGCTATAGAATTTCCTTGGAAATACTTGGATTGCTTCCCAGGTGGGGTGTTTTGGATCAATGGGGAACGTGACGAAACTATTAAGACAACGGTGGCAGAGATACTAGCTTATGCGAACGATCTTTCCTCGAGAAACGAGGACTTTGATTACTATTTGAACAAATTCCTACCAAGCCTTTCAGAGATAGAACTTTCATGGCTTCTCATAGTGGACAATGCAGATGAATTGCAGGATTCAAGTTGCCCCTCAGGAATCAAGAAAATTTTTAAAGGAAGTTGGCAAACAGCTGCCCCTGGTGCATCAAAGTATGGCCACATACTTCTAACAACAAGGGAAAATGCAAACGACACAAGAACGTTCTTAAAGCTCTCAAGAGATGATTGTTTTGAGTTGCCTTGTTTCAGTGAAGAAGAGGGGGCAGATTTTCTCATGAAAAGAACAGGTCTTCAAGGAGGAACCAATCGTAGAGAAGCCATTTCCTTAGCAAAGAAATTGGGAGCGCTACCACTAGCCCTCGAGCAAGCAGCAGCCTACATATGTGCCAGCCCTATGGGAATGAGCTTTAAAGATTACCTAGATTATTACCAAGAAGTAAAGATGGATTTCCTGAAGAAGAATCCTGTTACATCGCCAGGTACTGTGGAGGGGGAGCATCGGTTGTCGGTTCACTCAACTTGGAATATAAACTTTAAGTGTCTAAAAGAAAAATCAGCTGCCGCTGCCCTTTTGATGCAAATTGTTTCCGTTGTCGATCAAACGAAAATACCTTTCTGTTTTATAAACCCTGGTTCGCCTAAAATAGCTCAAGCGGGGTTAGGACAATGTGCCAGTTCTAAGGCGGGTGTTAATAGCCTTTTGAAAGATCTGTCAAGTTATTCCCTTGTGTCAGTTGATGATAAGGGGAAACACTTCAGTGTCCATCCGCTTGTAAAGGAAGTCATCCAGGACAGTCTTACTACATCGGAGCATTCTGTGGCGCTGAATCTGGCTTATCGGCTTTGTCGTTTTGCATTCTCAAACCTTGAGGTAACTATGGGTATTATGTTACTTTAGTCCATTATATATTGGCCCGTCTTATTTAAGAATATGAACTAACGGCAATACAAAACCCTCGAAGAGAAACATGACTGCAGTATTTCAAATTTGTCGCTTTGCAGTGGTGAAAAATGTTGGAGCGGCAAAAAATGATTGGCTAAAAAAATTAAGTGTTTTTGTCAATTTTTTTCTGGAATGTGACACATTGAGTGTCCCCGTCGAACATAACCTCTGATGGACCATAGACATGAGAAGTTATTGAATAGTGTACTAATTTCTGTTAATGCTGCTTTTGAGATTACTGCTTTTGGCTGTTATAAAACTGGATGTGATCCTCATTTATGTGATGAACTGCGGATTAAGATATAGATGTCGTAACAATCCAAATGGAGAACGTGGCCAACACTCTATCCAATCGACAGTTTCCGTCACCACAACATTTAGGGTTTGATTCCCGGTCAAATCTTTTTTTTTTTTTCAGATTCTTTTTCAACCGCTTATTGAGATAATTGTTCATTTAACTGCAAGGATATTCACATAACTCAGCTGTTCATATCACCATCCACAATCAGGCACATGATTTACTTCATACACTCTAAGTCCTTGTTTTTCCTCTTGGTGTTTGCAACCAATTAATGAGTGTTACTTACATCGTGTTAAATCTTTTATTGCAGAATGAACCGCTGGAAGCCAAAAAAATGGAAAGTGATAGCAATGATAAAGGAAGCAATTTTAAACTAAATATACCGCAGATGCTATTAAGTTTGTACGTACAAAACCTGTGAAAATGCTGTGCAAAATATGTGAAATACCCTGTGACAAGAAAACACCCAGTGAAAAACCCTGTGAATTTTGCACAGCCTAAATTTTGAGAAAATTTCAAAATTTAGGACCCTGTGAAAAAACCTGTGACTAAAATAAGCCTGTGAAAAACCATGTGAAAAAACCTGTGATCAAAGTTTAAGAAAATTGCCTACAAAACACCTCTGAAAAATCCTGTGAAAAAACCTATGAGAAAATTTTGAGAAAATTGCCTAAGAAACACCTCTGAAAAACCATATGAAAATACCTGTGAACAAAAAATGGTTGAAATCGATAACAGCAATTTGCAAAGATGCACTGAAAAAACCTGTGAATAATGAAGGAATGAACCATACGTGTGCTTTTATAAATTATTTTACACATATGTATGTAAAAAAATAAAACACATGCATAATTAAGTAAAATAAAAAGCTGGATGATTTGATGCAAGACATTTGTTTTGCTACTTAGAGTTTCATGCTTGCCAAAAGTAATGGTTACAACCAGAGATCGATATAGAAAATAAAGAACAATGGCATTAGGGTTTACATTGAATGTGGTTTTGCGGAAATTTTTAATTTACGTTGTTATATTACAGTTTTACAAAACCAAGCAGTTTGTGGTATTTAGGAATTTTCGGGTAATTTCAATGCAATTTGCATTTTTCTTATGTTTTTCTGTTCGGTGTTTACACAAATTTCTGTACAGTGTTCCTACCCCCTTACCCTCCTATTTGATTATCAAGTCGCTATGACACAGTCATGTGTAACAAGAACAATTATGCTTTTGGTTTCTTGGGAAAGCGGCAAGTACAACAATCAATATAATTTCCAGGCAAAAATTGTATTCAGATAAGATACCCTTTTACTTTTCACTTAAAAAGACTTTTTCTCAGCTAAGAGGGACTTTACAGAAAACCAATGCTGGCCATATATCTGCTGCATGCTAATAGTGCAACTTAATGACATATGTGATATCTTCCACTTCCACAAAATGATGTTTAAGTTTGAGCATTTTTGGACCTAAATGTTGAAACCTAGTTGAGAAAGTGTTGAAAGAAATCTAAATGTTGTTAAATTTCATTCGACATTGTGTCAACATCTTTGTTCTCAAGGATGTTTGTGTTAAAGCATGACGATTTATCTCTGTTCTCACCAATTGGCTTAATGCTCATGTTAAACAAGTATAATTATTGTTCTAAATGAGAAAGGCACATTATATATTTCTCATTTATTATTTACCAGGATAATTAAATGAACACCATGGCATTGCAAAGGTGACCACATGTTGAAACCAGCACTGAATTTAACAAAATGGTAAATGCTTATCTTGCAAGCATCAAGTTATGGATGCTTGTGGCTGGTTGCTAAGCACAAATGAAGCGTAAGATCAGAGTTGCTTGATGTGATAGCCAAGAACAATTCAGGTCTAAAACTGAGTCACTGACAAGGTATATTGTAAAATTTTCTTGGTTGTTCGCAACCCTCCAAGTTGCGACCATTTTAGTCGCCATGGCGCCTAAAATTTTGGAACTGGCGACTTGATTTGGAGAATAGTTGCCAAGCTGGCGACCGTGAAGAATAGGTTCGTGTTGTGGCGTATAGAAACAGAAATGGTAATCACTTCTACTGAAATATGAAGAACATTTATTCTAGCTGATTTGAATTACATTACTTTTTTACTTTTCCGTTGAAAAACATTCTATATAATAAACTGAAAACTTAAAAAAGTCCCAGAGCTAAGCGTTTTGAAAAGGAACATCAATGAAACTTGACTTGCATTCGTTCGCCTAATCGCCTTCAGTCTGTTGCCTTGCACGTGACATTTTAACTTTTGACACGTGACAAATGGCACGCAATCGAAGCGCCTTGCTTGTCGACAGTGACGATTTCTTCGATATCTTAGGAATGCTTGTCTAACCTAGCCTGTGTACAGACGTCCCCCCTCCCTCAGGAAAAATTGGGAGAGGAGACGTCTGTGAATCGCCGACGATAATCGTGTTCCCGTTTCCCCGGAATGTTGGGGACAGCCTCTGATTGGTTGTAATGTTAATGCCATGACGCAAATAATTTCCGGTGTTGTGATTGGTGAATGAACCTCACAATAGATTCCCCGAGGACAAGCTCAGCCTTTGTGGACATTCATATTTGTTTACCGGTATTTGTATTTCGGCTTTCTTGAAAAGGCATGAGAAGTTAAGACCACCGATGTTTGCTGCACTGGTTGCGGGTGCGTCTGTCTGTACCGGTCGGTATATATTGTAAATAAAAGAGAAGACATACAAAATCCAACATTAACAGCCAAGGCAGGTCAAGCTTACCCCAAAAAGATTCTATTACAGAATTTATTATTCTTGATTATTTTGCCCTAAAGACAACTGGAAATGGTAATTGTCTTTACAATTCCGTTTCAGTATTGATTCAAGGAGATGAATCTGCAAACCTTATCCTCAGACTATCAGTAACTAATGCCTTGCACAATAAACGACTAATTTATAGACAGTGCTACATTTTAAGTTAAACTTGCTAACTGCTTTTGTTAAGGACAATTTTGATATATTAATTTATTAATATAATTTGGCGCCTAAAAATTTCCCCTGGCGACTAAACCCAAAGAGCTGATCGCCAAATGGCCACTGAACAAAAATTTTAACTTTGAGGGTTGGTTCGCACAATATGCAACATCATATATCACATCAGCAGCCATGTGCATTCAAATAATTATGTAGTAGGCTGTGTCATAAAAATCAGCCTTGCATTGGATGTGAGCCCATGACCCTAAGCGATGTTTTTTTGTTAGTTCATAAATAAATAAACTTGTCAGTGATGAATAAATGAAAGTGATAATTTGAAAATCATATATTTTACCTACATAAGCATTTGCAGTTAAGGAAACCTGCTTTGAAGTTGTGAACATAAATGCAATAATCTTTTACTAGGCCAGTAAGGGGAGATGGACTGACTTGTGTGACACTTTTTTTGGAAATAGAACATGTTTGGCTAATACTTGTTCTACCATCGTAACAAGCGACACCATGACCATTGTCAGTCTGAGAGGGGAAATGGATTTCAGACAGATTCTTGCCCAGAACAAAATTGAATAAAGCAAATGATTGGGGAAAATGTGGCTTCAAGTAGTAGTATACTTTTTGCAAGGGAGGTCCATCATTATTCGGTGGTAAATGATGTACTAGTTCGTATTTTTGGTCATTGAAAGGATAGCTTTGGTCAAGCTGTTAAAAAAAAGGTCAAAACTAGAGCTAGTTAAAATATAATGGAGCCGTGAAAGGTTGTTAATTATATATCTGTTTATTGTTCATTCAAAGTATTTGTCTATTTCTGATTGGCTAATGCACTAGTCATTTGTTTCCCCCGCTCCCCCACCCCCGCGACATAGCGGGGGAATTTGCAAACAAGCAATGCTAATTATGGGGAATTCCACCACCCACCAGGGCAGAATTTCTTTGCAAAACCACCACCCCCCGGGGCTAGCTGAAAGACCTTGTAAAAGAAGAGATTGTCTATTTCTGCGCTAAATACATTTTGAGAAACAACAACTATTAGGAATGTTTCAACCAGCTTAAACTACTTACCACTGAGGTTGTTTGGAGTATAGCTTTTTAATCACACAAATAGTGTGAGAGAATAACCAATAAGCTGAGAGAAGACTTGAAAATCGTGAGCCATGCCAGCAACAAACACAGTTGTTTGGTACCTCCTCTTGAACTTGTTCTTGTCGAGAGAAACCTGGCCACATGGGTGGCTGTCACAAAACGGGGCATATGTACTACATTTTGTTTTAAGCACTTTTAGTAAGGGGCTAAGATTTAGGAAATTGTGATTGCAAAATTATTAAGAAGATAAATTCAAGATAGCTATAAGCTAGTTCGCCTTTTCAGAAGGAAGTGCAAATTTCAGTTGGCAACAACATTGCTACTTTACGGGGGTTTAAAAGGCATTTGAGATTCTAAAGCAAAAAGGGACAAAGAAAGTACATTGGTAGAACGCGTACATGACAAGAAATTCAGAGTATTTTAATACACTAGGGGCCACGTCCTTGGGACTAGTCCCATGAAACTGCTTACGTCATTATGTAGAAATTTAAGTCACCAAACAAGAGTTTTGTCAAGGGCCGTTTTAAATTGGGCTAATTAGGTTGGACTAGTCGCAGGGAATTGCTTCTCGTAAACGTGTACACACCACAAACTTTGCTTCAGGGTCTCATCCCCTCACAGGTCCCTGAGACCAGTCCCTGGTACCTGTTCCCTAGTGTATGCCGGCCTTTATGGTCACACATGAATGTATCCAACCCTCTTGTTGTGTATTTATTATCAAACAGAAAAACAACATTAAAGCATCACTTGCGCAGTGTTTGTGTAGTGTCATATATCTTACTCTTCTCTTGAATTTCCTTCTCGTCAATCTTAACTGTTACAAATGTCTTCTGCTCAGGCATAACCTAGAAAGGAGACCAGAAAACGAGTTCTGCTATTTGACTTATAGAAAGCAAGAACTGGTACTGTAGTCTATAGTTGTTTTAGTAGGAAGCCATTACCAATTACTTCCTTTGAATCCATAAGGATACTTATTTATTTTTATGTTTTTGCAATGTACCAGCTGACAGGAGCCAACACATCGCAGGATTCGTGAAAGGCTGTGAGGGTTTCTACTATAATAATATTATTATTATGGTCCTCACAGATTGATCTTCACAGGTAATACTTAATGAAACATTCTCTGAGCCGGAGATTGTTAGTTTTCCATACCCCCACTACAGAGAGAATTGGAAATTGCAGAGGGTGGGGAGGGTCAAAATCTTGATTTTCCAGGGGGTAAACATCCAAATTTTCATACAAACACTACATTTGTCACTTAGAAATTCCAGAGGGATGGGGGATCCTTTATCAAATTCCCTTCATGGTAGGGGTATGGTTTATTTTGAAATTACACAATGAAAGTAATCAGAACACAAAAAAAATATTTAA